AGGAATACTGGAATTATTTGAAAGTAGGATTTTGGCCTCTACTGGAGGAAAGTTGTTCAAGTTTTAATTGATTCATTGTTATATCTCACCTTATTCCTGGACAGGAATTAAGGCGGCAGGTAAATACAAAGACTTTCTCACAGCAAAGTTCTGTGAAAGAGTTGCTAAGGTTCCCTTTCTCACCTTCCAGTCACTCCTCCATCATGAACTACTCACCCAGTGTAGTTCCTCACTGCGGGGTCACCAGGGATCTGGCCTTGCTGTGGGATCTACAAGTGACCTCCTTCCCTTTATGTACTTTTTTCCCCTTCTGATTATATCAGTAACATATGTAACCGAAAATTTTGGGAAAAGACATCTCTAATCTCTATCCAGAAAACTTTTTCTTATTGAAACGTTTCCATGACAACTTTCTTGTTCCTTTCCTCTATTCTCTTGGCCAGACATGTGTCAGCCTGCCTACTACTAGATAGCTCTGTCTTGCAGGCAACATTTCTTAAAATTGAACTTACCTTGGCTTCCCCTGCTCCAAATCTGCTCAGCTACCTTTGTCACCATCTCATTAAAAGGTACCCCTTTTCATCCAGTGGCTGAAGCCGTAAGATGAGGAGGCGCTGTCTCCTCTCCCTCAACTTCCATTTATAATCAGCAGCTAAAATCCTGCCTTGTCCTTCCGTACTGATCCATTTCCTTGTTGTCTCTCCACTCATGGCACCTGAGCTTGGACCCTGGTTGTTTCTCACCGACCTGTTTCCCAGAAGCCCCACTAATTTTGAATCTCTTAAGACTTCATTTATCTTCCGTCAGGGCTTAGCTTAAAAATCAGGGCTTCACTCACCTCTTTCTACACCCTCCAGACTGAGCTTGGTGCCGGGGGGCCCCTCTCCTCCCTCCACACACTCCTTCCTTTTCTGTAACCCCCTCCGGGCCCCCCAGCTCACCCAGCACCAGCACTGCCCTTATCTGTCACATTCTATTGTAATTGCCTATTTACTTTTCTATCTTCTTAGAGGCAGTGGTTATGTCTTGTTCATAATTGCACCAGTAATATCCAGCCCAGAGTGTTTAATAAATTTCCGATAATAAATGGATAGAAGGAAATGGGTGGCAGTTAATATGAAAAAATTTTGAAGCTGTTATGTTAGTTTTATGGTTCTGGCTGCCTTAAAATTTGTATCTTAAGTGATATGACTGGCTTTCATCCACCTGGCCCTGTGGTAATGATTCTGTGAACAAGCTTCCTAAATGTGAAGTATGGTAATTCGGGCAAAGCAGGAGTGATGCTGATAGGCTGACTGGCCTAGGCCCCACCACCTGGCACTGCACTGATAAAGAGGTTCGGCTTCCTGTAGGTACCAGCTGTGTCGCAGAGATGAGATGGCTGCTTAAACTAGGGCTGTCGTGCTGGGGATGAAGAGGGAGCATATTAGTGACTTGGTGATTGGATGTGGGGCTCCGGGAGAAGCATCTAAATGACTCAGTGTTCTGGCTTGGCTGACTAGGTACTTGATGTGATGATTAACTAGTTGTATTGATTTATGAGATTCTTTTTGCTATCCAGGTGAGTATGTCTACTAGGCAGGTAACAGGATATGAATTTTGGGAGAACACATCACTGGAGAGTCATCAATTTGTGGTCATTAAAACTGTAAGGAACACTTAGATACATGGCTTAAGAGTCATAATGATCTAGAGCAGCGGTTCTCAACCTGTGGGTTGCGACCCCTTTGGGGGTCGAACGACCCTTTCACAGGGGTCACCGGGTACTCGTATGTGGGCGTATCTGCATGTGGGCCTGGAGACGGATAGAGGAGCAGTGTCTCGGTTCCTAAGACCATCGAAAATATGTGTTTTCCGATGGTCCCAGGCGATCCCTGTGAAAGGTTGAGAACCACTGCTCTAGAGAAACAAAGAACTCTGAGGAACAAAGATGTTTAAGGGCCAGGGAAGAGAAGAGAGCTGGGAAGGCAGTTTCAGAGAAATTTAGGAGTTGGAGTTGAAGAGGAAATTTGACAATAAAAAAGCCATTAACTTTTTCTGCTTTAAAGAGATTAACAAGAAGACGGGTCTGTCTTCACCCAACTGTTGGAATAAATGCCTCAGTGTGGCAGGTCGGCGTGCCTTTTTGTTGGGCATTTCCACCTCAGCCCTGTGGAGGTAGCCCGGCTACCCCAGCCCAGCCCAAGTCCACAATCCCACTGACACTCTTACACATGACCTTTAAAGTTCCTTCCAAATTAAATCTGAGGTTAAAAACAGATTCTAGGCCCAGTCCCAGAAATTCTGATTCAGTAGGCCCAGGGATCTTACATTTTTACAGGGACATTTCTGAGCATCTAAGGAACACTCATGTATAGGTAGGTGCTATAAGCCTGCATTTTATTTAATTTCAAGAGAGCAGGACTTTATTATGGCAAACTTTAAAAATACAATTGAGAGGAAGGATTGGCAACCATGGAAACCTAGCGGAGCTTTCTGCAGTGCCTGTTTGGGGGAATTAGATGGGGGTGGGGAAAGCGCCACCATCTGGTGTAATCTGTTAGAGAGAGATGTAGAGTTTTTATTCTGTGGATCTTTGCAGCAGAAGCCCCTGATGCCCTGCTCATATCCATGTGGTCCAGATTTCAACCAGAACTCAGATTTCGGCCGTATCTTCCTCTAAGTCTTGCTAGCACATTTCCATTTTCTGCCTCAGGCCCTCAAGACCAGCATTCAAGGAAGGGAAGAGGTTAATACCCCAAGCAGCCTTCAGCCAGTTGGGAACATGAGCCTAAATGTCCTGCCTCCTTCAGGGGACCCACAAATCGCCCCCCACCCTCCAGCAGTCACCCCATTGCATCAAATGACCTTATTAGCTTGCCTCCTTCCCTGTTGTACCTTTCCTTCCCTCACTTCTGTTCCCTGGGATCATCTCCTGTTTAATCATGCTAAAACCTTATCCATTAGTAATATGTCATTTGAGCTGACTTTACAGGTTAATAAATGCAAACAAAAGCCGCCTGTGATCACATTAGTTTCTTCTTAATGTTCCTGCCTATCAATTTAGCACCCAAAATAATGTGTGTGGGTGGAAGGCAAAGAGAACATGCTGTGCAGTGCCGAATGGCACACATACTGCAGAAGTTCAAGTTTATTCACATTCTGTAATGAGATCATTATGTGAGAACTGAGTGGAGTTTTCAGCAACCTCCATTTCTGTCATTACTTAGGATTTGAAGAGAGATGAAAAACCAGAAAATTGTTGACACAGAGATCGCACTAGATGTGCCTCTTTTATTCATTTATCTATTATATTCATATCTCTTCCTCTTGTTCTTGAGGAATTCTGGGTGGTTCTTTTATAAGACTAAATTATAGGATATAATGATAGAAAACTAAAAATGTTACAATGCAGAAAAGGGAAAGATTATTACAGATTTATGATATAAATTGCCGAAGATCAGAAACAAACTAATCTGATATATTTCAGGGATATCTTTTAAAAGGTACCTTGTGTGCCTTAAATGCAAGATTTCTCTTTACCTAGCTAGAAGATATTCATATCCATATTTCTTCTTTTAGCTGAGACTAGATTCTCAGAATTAAAAGTTGAAATGAAAGGTAAACTTGTTCTGGATGACCACTTTCATTCTTGACAATTAAAACTGATGTCTGGGGCCGGCTGAGTGGCTCAGTTGGTTAAGAGCTCGCGCAAGAGTTTGAGCTCTGAGCAACAGCGGTTTGATGCCCCGCCAGAGCTGATTTGCCGCTGAGCTGCCAACAGGTGGCAGGATGGCTCAGCTAAAAAACAAAAACAAAAACAAAACTGATGTCTGAAAGCAGTTACCACAGAGGTTGCCATATTGTAGACACTCAGGAAACATTAGGGAGCAAATCAGAGAGGAATATGCTGAGTTGCTCAACGTGTATATCTTAGATTGGTGTCCCCATGAGTGAGACTAGGTCATACTCCATGTGCTCAGACCCATGGGGCTCGTGCCGCACTCCCATCAACCTGAGACTGTGGATGTTTATTTAGGTCTGCAGTTTATTTTGCAAGAGGCCAGGCATCTCTACAAAACACTTTCCTCAGGGTGCTCTGTGTAGCAACAGGCTATTTTGAAGTATAAATTGATGAGATCATTATATAGATAATCTACTATTCCAACCCCTTAGTTAACATTTCAACTCCAAGTCAGAGAAGAAATGACTTGTCCAAGGTAGAATCACTCTGGTTAGTTAGTGACACGGCAAGGGCTAGAGCAGATCTCTGCATGTAATCATCTTTCTGTCTGATTTTTAAAAATGGCTCCCATCTCTACCCCAGGTCAGGGAGCAGAACAAGGTACTTCCTTTGAACTAGTTCAAATTTTTTTTAGAATTAATAAGCATTATGGGTTCTAGATTTGATTTATGATATTTGCAGAAAAATTGACAGGAGCTTATGCAAATAGGTTATTTAGAAAATCAAGACTTATAGGTGGGCAAGTACATAAGCAAACAGGTGAAAAATTACAGACATCGGAATATTCAACAGTACGGAAATACCTTAGGAAGCAATATAATGATTTTGATAAGACTTTTGCAACCAATAACATGCTTGTTGTGATTACTTAGACACTAGGGATTCTGGACAAGTTCCTTTTCTATTTTCCTTTCTTCTATACTGTGTCTTTTACTTACTGGGGTATTTTTGGTCAGTTCAAATTTCTTTACATTTAAAAGACCAATTTTATATAGAGAATGTTAGCTAATGTCAGCTTTCTAAAATTCAGCCTGTTCACTGAGTCGGAAATTCACTGGTTTTCTGGCCGATACGCCATGGAAAGTAGTGATTTTGCTTTTGTTCTTCTTGATCTGTACATTTAAATTAATTGAAATGAGAGTTGGTAAAGATTTAGTGAATTGCTAAAAATGTTTCTATTACGTGCTTGAACCATCTAAATGTAAGTTAAAAAAATAAAAATCTTGCCTAAAAACAAAATCAGTATCGTAATGAAATGTATATTTCTTTTCTGTAGAGCCTCTGTTATGCACCTAAAGCCATATTGGAAACTCCAGAAGAAAGTGCTGCCTCTGGAAGTCAGCAAGGAAACTCTGAGAACTCCCACAAGCCACCAAGAAGCCCTAAATGATGAAAAATGCAAAGCTAGCTACATGAAACCCAGTGTCTTTCCTTCCAGCGCTCCTGGTAAAGCATCATCTCGAAAGCCTTTTGGGATCCTTTCTCCAAATGTTCCGTGCAGCATGAGTGGGAAGAGTCCTGTAGAGAGCAGCGTGAATGTTAAAACCAAGAAGAATGCGCCATCTGCGACAATCCACCAGGGTGAAGAAGGAGAGGGGCCGCTTGATATCTGGGCTGTGGTGAAACCGGGAAATACCAAGGAGAAAATTGCATTCTTTGCAGCCCACCAGTGTAGCAATAGGATAGGCTCTATGAAAATCAAAAGCTCCTGGGATATTGATGGGAGAGCTACTAAAAGAAGAAAAAAATCAGGGGATCTTAAAAAAGCCAAGATACAGTTAGAAAGGATGAGGGAAGTCAACAGCAGGTGCTACCAGCCTGAGCCTTTTGCGTGTGGCATTGAGCACTGTTCTGTGCATTATGTGAGTGACAGTGGGGACAGCGTCTATGCTGGGAGGCCTCTGTCGGTCGTACAGATGGTTGCCTTCCTTGAGCAAAGAGCCAGTGCTCTGCTTGCCAGTTGTGCAAAAAACTGCACTAACGCACCTGCCATGGTGAGGTTTTCTGGGCAATCCAGGGGTGTGCCCCCCGCCTCTGAGCCCTTCTCTGCCCCAGGAGCTTGTGAAGAACCCACGGAAAGGGGAAATCCTGAGGTTGGTGAACCACAGAGTGAGCCAATCCGTGTCCTCGACATGGTAGCCAGGCTGGAGTCTGAGTGTCTGAAGCGGCAGAGCCAGCGTGAGCCTGGGAGCCTCTCGAGGAATAACAGCTTCCGGCGGAATGTAGGCCGGGTGTTGCTTGCAAATGGCACTCAGGCCGATGAAAGCAAAACAAACAAAGGCGCCTTGGAGGCACCTGACACTCAGGTGAATCCCGTGGAGTCTGGATCTGTGGACTGTGGCCCCTCGAGAGTTGACAGCTGTTCTCTTAAGGGGGACCAGGCCTGGGATGGTGCTCCTCGGGGCTGTCCCTCACTGCCAGCCGGTGTGAGTTTCCACAGGGACAGTGCAGCGTTAGAGCCAGATCAGCAAACTGCTGTGAAAAACAGCAATAGATACGATGTGGAAATGACAGAGGAACTTGTTGAGGCACCTTTTCTTCCTCGTACGTGTCCCCAAGCCATTGAGTTGCCCACAGATGCTGTTGATTGTATGAGTAGAGAGCTGGTGCCACTCACTAGCCACAATCCTGATCAGAGAAGAAACGAATCCGTGTGCATTAGTATCGCTGTGTCCAAGGTAGAGAAAGACCAGCCTTGTAGTTTGAAGTCCTGTGAAGACCCACTTCCAGGGATGTTGTTTTTTCTGCCACAGGGTCAGCACCAGTCGGACTGTTCCCAGTTGAATGAAAGCACAATAAAAGAGTCTTCCCAGGCCGACCAGCTTGAAGATCCTGCTGAGGCTGGCAGTGCATCCAAGGAAAAAAGCGTTTCAGCCGATTCCTTTGTCCCGCCAGCCTCTCCTGCAGAAAGTACAGTACTGGTGCTTGAGGCGTCCAGTTGGAAGAAGCAGGTGTCTCATGACTTTCTAGAGACCAGGTTTAAAATCCAGCAGCTCTTGGAGCCTCAGCAGTACATGGCTTTCCTACCCCACCACATTATGGTGAAAATCTTCAGGTTACTTCCCACCAAGAGTTTAGTGGCTCTTAAGTGTACCTGCTGCTATTTCAAGTTTATCATCGAATACTACAACATCAGGCCAGCAGATTCTCGCTGGGTTCGTGACCCGCGCTATCGAGAGGATCCTTGCAAGCAGTGCAAGAAAAAATATGTGAAGGGGGATGTGTCCCTGTGCCGGTGGCACCCCAAGCCCTATTGCCAGGCACTGCCCTACGGGCCGGGGTACTGGATGTGCTGCCACCGGTCTCAGAAGGGCTTCCCTGGCTGTAAGCTGGGGCTTCACGACAATCACTGGGTCCCTGCTTGCCACAGCTTCAATCGGGCAATCCATAAGAAAGCGAAAGGGACTGAAACTGAAGAGGAATATTAAAGTCTGTGTTAGAGGCGGCAAAATGCTGATTTTTGAAACTGCAAACCACCACCTGGACATACCGTTCAAGTGTGTTGTTGCCCCTCCGAGTCACCACGCCAGGAGGACCTGTACTTACTCTGTCAGGACTGCCACTGCTCAGGCATTTACTTTACACGCTGTACAAGAAAATTGGTCTCTGTTTTATGGTGGCGCCTCACGTTTGATCCAGGGTGGTAGCCCACAGTTTGATTCACTTTGCTGTGAGTAATTATGCCTGTTTTCCCAAATCAAATCCATCCTCAAAGGACAAAGACTTGCCACCATCAAGGATGTTCAGAAGACTGTGCAGGCGATCCCCCTAAAGGGTTCCGGAAAAGTTTTGAGCACTGGCACCATATATGAAAGAAGTGAATAGTGTCCTATGAAGAGAAGAGCAGCTCTCTTGGATGAGCAGTATGCTTACAAAGGAAAAGGCAGGCACCTTACCTACACCTCGTATGCTTGATCCTGTGAGATGGATGTTTGTGGTCGGGATGGATTTCATGCCCTATGGTGTTTACAGTGTATATAATGGTTGTGTTTTCATAGGGCTGTGAAAGTGCACATTAAACCCGAGCGCCTTTACCTTAGATGAGTGCTTTGGGCCCCTCTGTAAATAACACCATTAAAATCCAGTTGTGTGTAGTGGACGCTGATTGAACAACGTAATCACCACAACGCAGCTAGTGTAGTGTTGCGGCTACAGTTGTGAGGTTTTTTTTTAATCGTCTCAAATTTGTACATCCTGTATAAACTATGAATGTTTCCCAAATAAACTATGAATGTTTCCTGTATAATATATGAATGTTTCGAGAAGAAACTCTAAATAGTTAAGAGGTTAACCTGTTGAAAAGATACCAAATAAATAATGGTTTAACTGGACAACTTTAAAATTAGCATAGAGAGCAATCCTTTGTTATATTTTAGTGATCCACCAAGAATGAGAGAATATTATATAGTCAGATTATAACATTCTTGTCTACTTTATTCTTTCTGTCTGGTTACAAAATTTTTTTTTAAATTTCAATAAAAACATGCATCTTAAATGGGACCTGAGTTTTACAGATTTTTTCCCCTCCTCTTATGAAGTAACAAAGAAGGGTGTTGTAAATTAAGTTGTAAGAATTAAAAACTATTTTGGAATTGTTATGGGGAGGGGGAGAGAATTTTTTTTCAACTACCAAAGAGACTGTATGTAAATTATGAGCTTCCATTTTTGCAACCTGTGACACTTATTTTGAATTTGTCATCTGCTTAACACCCACTGTATATCCTGTTGGATGAGGCATTATATACCTAGGACATTCTTACAACTTGTCCTGGCGTAATTAATTGTTCAGAAGTCACTGAGGATGTATTCAGGCCTGTGGTCATGTATTGCTTGGAGGTGTTGGGAGGTATCGCACCCCAGAAAGCTGCTGTGGAGCATCTAAAAACTAGGTGGCTTGAAATCAAGTACTCACCCAAACACCCTGTCACCCGTGTAAGATGCGGGCTGCGGCAGATGTTCCTGGGGAGGCTGATGGGGACGTGATGAGGGAGGGCTGTGCTGCGATGGTCCTGAAGGAGAAAGGTAAAGGCTGAGCAGGCTCGGGCTAGGTCGGCCAAGCGGAGGGGGCAGCCCTGGAGCCAGGCGGAGCCAGGGTTGCCTGTGGCTGAGGCAGTGGGTGGCCACGGAGCAGCTTCCGTACTGGAACCTGTGGCTGCTTCTCCAGTAGCTGCTCCTCCCTGAAAAGCGGGTACTAACACTGAAGTGTTTCTTGATGCTGACAGGTCTGCCCCCTTCAGACACATGGTAGTGATACTTCTGAGAGGCTGGAGCCTGTGGGCTCGCTGACTGGGACACAGGACCAAGAGACTAAGACAGCTTGCTTTTCTTCGAGGTATCAGTGTCTGTCTTCATGACTTGCCCTAGCTGAGGTATGCTGGAAATACTTTTTTTAAATTAAACATTTTTTCAGTTACAGTTGACATTATGTTAGTTTCACGTGTACAACATAGTGAGTAGACATTTATGTAACTTAGGAAGTTATATATAACTTACTTATACAAGAAGAAGAAAATGCTTTTCAACCCGCGTCTCCTTGGGCTGAAGTGTCCAGGCTTGTCGCCCTCCTGTGGTTTGCCCTAGACTGGCAATCTAAGTGTGCCTTCCCGGCAGACTTGTTATGATTCCTAATTTAGGATTAAAGGAGGTACACGTACACACACACACACACACACACAGAGGACTTAAGAGGACAGCTTGGTGTGTGGTTAAGTGCCCAGTAAAATGTTAGTTATCACTGTCACTGGCTGTTTGGTTCTACATCTGCCCAGGGTGGGTGGACACACAGGATAAACGACCCTTGGTTGGGTTTCCCAAGTCAGCCATTCCGGATCTGGTTTTCACGAGGGACACAAAGCTTGGCCTCTGAGGGGCTAAACTGACCAAGACTAGAGAACACGGTGGAATGCCCCAGCCCCATCTTGGCATGCAGTTTTCCCTTTTGAACTATGTGGCAGGACCCAGTTTCCAGCGCTGTCTGAACGAGAGAGCATTTGAGCAGGTGGCATCAAAGGGCACCTCCTCCCAGGTCTTCATGTCTAGACAAGTGCAGCTTTCCCCTTAGGACAAAGATTCTGTGCTTCAGAGCCCCCTAGTGCCAAGCCCGGGAAACCAGCCCACTTTTTAAGTCCTGCAGCCTGCCTTCCTGCATTGCTGTGAGTCTCAGCCTTGTAAGAGGAAACCACGTGGGTGCCAGGGTCCTAGCCTCTCCCCTTCCCCCACCAAATCAAACCTCCCCTCAGCTTTTGCTCAGAGGCTCTGATATGCCTGGCCTAGTTTTTATCTCCCACTTCACCATTTGAAAGAAAAACCAGAATTAGAGAAATCTGGGAGAATCAGAGAGCTTCTCCCCCGCCTCAAGCAATGTGGCTTTGTCCCCTGCCCTGTGGGTGATATATCCAAGGAAGGGATGAATTGGAAATGGAAAAAGGGCTGAGAGTAAAAATTTTCAGGCCTTGTCAAAATGACTGGCTTCAGAATGGCTGTGTAAAAGGGTCATTCACAATGGCCATATAACCTGCTTCAGCACACATGGCTCCGTGCTCGGGGGGCCCCTTCTTTGGGACCCCCACCTCGCCTGCCCACCTTGTTTGGCTGGGTGCACCCTGCACACATCTAACACTTCCTTTCCGTGCTTGTATCTGGACTTCACCCAGCTCAGAGAGGCAGCGTGGTCCTGCCATCCCCAGTGTCCATAAAATGTGTCTTTCTAGTGACCATCTTAAGGTGGTTCGTGCTGGCAGGCCCTTCCTGTGCTGGGTTATACTGTAATTTCCCATCTAGTATCAGAAGCCTGACGTGAGGATAAAGGGATATAGGAAGGTCTTTTCCTCTGGCCACAGCTGATACCATGGAACAGTCTTGCTTTGGGACGCTCCACGGCAGCCCTGGGCGTTTTGCTGGGTAACTGCCAGGTATGCATTGGTACGATCTGGGCTGTGCTGTTGCTAGTGACTCCTTGCCCGCAGGCTGCTTTGGGCTGAGGGTTACGCCTGCTCTAGAAGTTCCCCTCCTGGGCGCTGTCCAAACATCCCTTCTAACTTGTCAGGCCCTCCCTGCCAACCTTCTTGGACTGGCCTCAGACAGTTATTATGTGGGCATTCCCGGGTGTTTTCCATGGCTCTGCCTCCTTCCTTCTCCACTCAGCAGACTGGCTATTCATCCTCTCCTTCATCCTACCGCTTCAAAACCAGAAACAGGAAAGCCAGCCTGCACCAAACCTTTCTTGCTGTACACCGCAGACTGCACCCCAATAAGAGCTGGTGTTATCGACTGTGCTGCCTTTTAAATGCATTCTCTGCTGTGCACAGCGTCTGACACTCAGGTAATCTGATACTTTCTATCCTGTTTTCCCTTTGGGTTCAAACAAGCTAGTGTTGCAATCCCTGAGTTGGTGAAAGTACCTGTGTGGGAAATGCTGCTATTGACATGCACACCGTTCCTAAATTTGTGATCATAGCTGGTGTTTGCACAACCTCATAGGAAGAGTAAACATTGTGGTTATGCGCCCTTGGGTGACTGACAGTGTATTTATACCAAACTGGTTTAAAGCAGAACCACAGTTAGGCATCACGCCATTCTAGTTTGCTCGATCTTGATATTTTAGAGGAGCAGAGCCACTGGAGTTGGTAGCTGGGAAGGGAGCAGAGATGGTACTTACACTGCAACAACCCTTGTTAGAGGTGCTGTTCCTCTACTTAAAAAGTAAAAACTTATCCCCCTTCAAAGCCGCCCCCCCCATTCACTCTTCAGTTAGCAGAGACCAGACCTCAGAACAAATTAATTTTGGCATTCTTGGTCTCACATTTTTTGGGGGGTTAAGGTGGGCTATAAAAATGAGAAGTCTCTAGTAAATGTTTTGCCTTTGTCCTTGGAATAAAACAACAGGGATTAGGTTCTAAAGTTAGCAATTAGGGGTAAAAATGACATACAGCTGAAATTACTTGTGGAAATTGTGTCAGCCACCCTGGAGGATGCTCTATGCCGTGTGAGTGGTGGGAAATGCAGAAGCCGTGTAAGACGGGGTACTCGGGTACTCTTGCTGAGTGATGATGAGCAGTGTGCCGAAACTGAGACTTGGGGAATAGCAGATCCCACCTCCCAGTTAACCGGGGTAGAATTACCTGTGCTATTTAAACTATGTCCCTCCTTTCTTTCCACTCCCTCCTCCATTCAGAGAATCAAACAGTTGCTTTAAAAACTGGAATTTCCAGATGTCTATTTAGTAGTATGAAGAGATTGATGCAGTTAAAAAAAAACACGTTAAAATCAAGTAGTTGCCAAACAATCAGTGTAATATAAGTGTCAGTCCCCTATCCATCATGAGGTTACATGCCCCGTTTGCACAGCTGAGTGTTTGGGGTCTGGTGGGAGGGTAGGGATGGAGCCACCAGGCTGGGCCCACCAGCCTTCCCTGTTCCGGGACTGAGCTGTGGGCCTTCCCCTGGCCTGCCCCACCAGCCACCTCTATGTAGGCAGCTGAGCAGTCAGCCACAGGGTGCCTGGCCTGCCGCGAACGGTTCTTCCACCCCAGCCCTGACTGACTCCTAAGCAGAGAGTGACTTGGCTGCCCCAGAGCCCAAGCTGGGGCTTCTCGCATGAACTTTTCCTTTTCTATGACCAGTAGTCTTGGCCTCAGGCCCCTCAACTTGCTTCTAGTCTGTGTCCGAAGAGGCTTTTTATTGCACAGGGTCTCAGCAGGAAACTGCTGGCACGCCCAAAATGAGCTAATTCAAGGAGGAGCAAGCCCTTCCTGGATATTTTTGTGGCCTAGGGCAAGAATACAAATGGACCCTCCAACAGACCCTCCTTTTCCCCCCACCCATAGCTTAGTATTTTCATATTGATTACATGTTGAAATAGTATTTCTGGATATCTTCAATTAAAATATAAAAAATATAAAATGGTTTACTTCTTTAATGAGACTACCAGAAAATTGTAAATCATGCATGTGGGTTACATCATTTCCATTAGACAGCACTGCTCTAGATCAATGCTTTTTAAATATTAATGTACAGAGGAATTACCGAAATGAAGAGCAAGTGGGTCTGAGGTGGTGCCCCAAATCCTGCATTTCTTCTTTTTAAAGTGAAGCTTATAAAAAACACTAGTTAACATTGTATACTTTCCAGGTGTACAAGACTGTAATCTGACATCTGTGTGCTTGCGGTCACCACCTGCCTCTAGCTTCCCTCCATTAACATATTTGACCCTTTCCCCACTTCACCCTCCTCCTCCTTCGGTAACAGCCACTTTGTTGTCTGGATGAGTTTGTTTTTGTTCATTTGTTACTTTTTTACATAAACCATTTGGTTTATGTAAAAAGTTTCATACATTTTCCTTCTCATTGCATCTTCCCTCACCTGTGCAAGTTCAGTCCTTTTCCTCCTCCCTTTTTAAATTTTGTTGTCACAATTCATCCCTTTTATGCTGTTTGTTTCCAAATTGCAGAAGTTATAGTTTTTTTTAAAAAATGCTTTTTCCCCCTTTCACCTTAATAATTGTTTAATACCCTATTCTGAAATAGAGTTGCAATTTCCTGCTTCTGTCCTTCATCCAAGTTTTGTAAACTTTTGTCTTTTTGTTTCAGGTAGAAGAGCTCCTTTCAACATTTCTTGTAATGCAGATCTTGTGGTGGTAAATTCCTTCAGCTTCGTTTGTCTGGAGAAGCCTTGATTTCTCTTCCACATCTAAAGGATAACTTTGCTGTATTGTTGTATTCTTCTTGGCTGGTGGTTTCTCTCCAATATTTTGAATGTTTCATTTCAACTCTCTCTTAGCTTGTAAGATTTCCCCTGAAAAATCTGATGATAATCTACTGGGGTTTCCTTTTTAAGTTACAGTCCATTAACTTTTTTTTTTCTTTATAAAAGATTTTATTGGGGAATTGGGGGAGGGGAACAGCGGTGGGGAATCGGGGAAGGGGAACAGACAAGTTGCTGTCCTTTTGTTCCCCAGTCCAGCTGTGGAGGACGTTGCTTCACTGGCTCATGTTGGCACCATCATTGTGCCCTTCCCGGGTGAGGCAGATTGGTCGCCGGCCTCTGGACGGCTGCTCACCGCGGCTCTTGGCAGCTCACACCAGCTGCCGGCCACTCACGGTACCCCACTGCAGCCCCACTGCAGCCTATGCCGTTGGCGACCCACGGCAGCCCAGCTCCAGGTCAAGCTGTTGTTCACCATCTCAGCTGCAGAGGGCGCAGCATCACTGGCCCTCATGTGGGATCCGAACCAGGGCCCTGCCGCTCAGAGCCGGCGTCCCAAGCCAACTCTCAACCAACGCGCCACTCGGCCGGCCCAACAGTCCATTAACTTTTACAGTGTTAATATAATGTGTCTTGGATGAGGTCTTTTTGCTTTGAAATAATTAGGTGTTCTGTTAGCTTCTTGAATTCTAGGGTCCAGCTCTTCCCATTGGGAAGTTCTCAACTGATTATTGTTTTCAATAGGCGCTCTGTTCCCTTCTCTTCTGGTATCCCCATTACCCTTATGTTGCTCTTTCTAAGGGTGTCAGATAGTTCTTGTAGAGTTCTTTCATTTTTTAAAGATATTCGTTCTCTCCAGAATTTGTTTGGTTCTTCTAGTTTCAAACTCTTTGGCAAAATATTATTTCTGTTCATTAATTTATTCCTAAGCTCATTGAGTTTTCTTGTATCTCATTGAGTTGTTTCATAACTGTAATCTTGAATTCTCTGCCATTTAAATCACAGCCTTCCATGTCTTTGAGTTTGGTTTCTGGAGAAGTCATTTTCTTTCTGTGTTACTTTGTCATCTTAGTTATTCATGGTACTTGATGGATTATTTCTCTGCCTGTGTATTTGAGGTAGTGAACTCTTTACTTTTACTTTTTTAGTTACTGTTTTGCTCTTCATTGAAAAGGTTGATAAGTAGAGGTCTGTCTTTCATTTTTTTGTAGACGGTACAAAAGCGCAAGTTTTTGTTTTCTCTTATCTGTATTACTAGCACCTCTGGGATTTTGTTGGGGCAGTGTTGCCTCAGTCATGGAAAATGCCCCGTACTCCTCAAGGTGGTGGGTGTCCCCTGTGTCTAGGTGGCCTCAGTCTCAGGGCACTAGCCCCATGGTGGGATGTGGCAGGCGGTGGGCTCAGGGTCTGCAAGTTCAAGGCACCGGCTCCTTGGTAGCAGTGGCTGCCAGCCACACTGTGCAATGTGAGGCATCTCAGCTGTCTTCATCGGGTTCCACCGCAGTGGGTGGGTGAGGGAAAGCAGGTTCACGAGTCTGCGGCGGCTTTCCCTCTTCACTGGTAATGGCGGCTGCCAGTCCATGCCTACCACACCGCTATGCTGCGTTTCCACCCTTGTCCCTGGGTGTAGCCGCTGTGGGTACTGACTGCTGAGGCAGGAATGTTGCTTCTGCCCCTCTTGCTCTCCAGGCTGCGGTGTGAGGGCTGCAGCCAGAGATCTCCAGCGCGACCATGTCAGTTAGGCCCACGGTGGGCGCCAGACTGCACCTGTGGTCCCGTCTCTGACCTACTCCACTTCCTACCGCCTCTGCTCGTTCCAATATGCCCACCTTCAGATGTATCGCTACATGGATCTCTCAGATGTTTGTGTGTTGAGCAGAGGGTCCTTTGTTGTTTGACTTGTAACTTAAAGGGGAAATACAGCATCACTCCATCTCACTCCACCGTGATGCTGATGTCACTCAAGATCCTGTCTTTCTAACAAGCTCCCAGGTGATGCCGGCACTGCAGGTGCAGAGATCACTCCATGAGGAGCAAGGCTGTGGAGAAATGTCGGAGCTGCAGGTCCTGAGTGCGTTGCTAGAGACCTCTGCAGTTCTCCAGCTCTTAGCAGGTTTTTCGCAGAGTCCCTCAAGTGGGAAGCAGAGCTCCCAACCAAAGCCAGTACCAGTACCCGAGCCAGAAAATCCATGTACTTCCCCCTGGGGTGGGTGTTAGACTCGGTCCTTCCCACTATGGAGGCAGCTCTTAAATTGCTGACATAGAAGATGTGCTCTGCTTCTAGCACTTTAATCAACTTTGGAATGAGAGGCCTGCCTCTTCCACCTGGTACTTTGAAACACTTGGCACTTTCTTGCCCAAATTCAGAGCTACATACATACTTGCTTATGCTCTAGAAATGTCTCCCCGATAAATGTTTTCAAATGTAGGAAAATAAGGTGCTGGGAAGGGGAGGAAAATCCAGGTGTCTTCTGAAGTTACACAATAAACACTAAAAAGCCACACTGGAGGGGGAGCTAATGAATGACCTGAGGCAGATCTGCCTGTGTTAATGCTCAGCCACAGGGCCCTAAGTGGCTGAGCTTTCTGCACTCAACTGGCTCGAGCCCATTTTAACACTTACCTAGTGCTGTCCAGTATCTACTTCCTATTTCTCACTTTTCAAAGGGGACCATTCAAAATCTCCATCAGATTCCCCCCACCAATTATCTCATTCCCTCCTACAAAAATCAACCAGTCACTGATGTGGCTCTTGCTGTTTATCATCCCTTTTATTCCAGAAAAAGATTATCCCTGGAAAAAAGAAACTGGTGGTTTCTAGATTAAAAATAAATTCCAGGGCCGGCTGAGTGACTCAGTTGGTTAAGAGCTCGCTCAAGAGTGTGAGCTCTGAGCAACAGCGGTTCGAGTCCCGGCCCGAGCTGAGCAGCCGCTGAGCTGCCAACAGGTGGCAGGATGGCTCAGCTAAAAAAAAAATAAATAGAAGAATTCCACATTATCTGTGTAACTCTAAGCAGGTTATGAACCTCTTTTCCAGGGTATTTTCTCATCAGCTTTTTGTAATGTCGCACTGGTGAGCATTCTCATTGAGCATTTCATAGCTGAGGTTCAGATGACTTGCTTAGAAGCCCAGTTTCAAATTTCCTTGTACGTTTTGTTGAAGCAACTTTCAGATGACCTCCTTTGTCCACAAAGGACAAAGTTCTCTTTCCCATCTGCTTCAGCCATGGGGGCCAGGAATCTCCCTGTACACACTAGATGAGAGCATGTTTTTAACTTATCTTAAGTTAGTGAGGACACTAACTTAAGTTAGTGAGGACACTAACTGCAGTACACACCCTATTCGGGAACCTTCATATCCTTGCCTGTTTTCCTTCTGTTGTGGTTGGCCTGCTGCTGCAGGTAAGGGGTAGGACGACCACAGCGGCTGTTCCTCGCCATCTCTCCAAGTTTGCCTGGCTGTTTCCCAGTGCTCACTCCTGGTATCCCTGTCCACCTGCAGGATTATCCACCTGGGGGAGACTAGTTATCAAAACAAAACCAAAAGGGGGAGGGATTCTCCAAAACGGTTGGTTCTCCAGTCAGCTTGACGGACTCCCTCTAACCTCTGACATTTCTCTTTCCCATCCTGAAGAAAGTCTGGGCAGGTTCCACATGGGCAACCTAGAGGTCCATCCCTTCATCCCTCCCCAGGGGGCTGTCACAAGACACCAAGTTCCTGTAGGGCGTGTGCATCACGTGATGGCACCAAAGAAAAATCCATCTTTAGAGAAAGTATGCAACTAGTAAGCAACCAGTTTCCCAGCTTACTAAACGGGACTATTGCTAATACCACCATAATCTATAATTAAAAAAATACATTTGCAGGCATTTTTCCTCACCTAGCAAAAAAATTCCAAAAATAATAAAAAATCCTATAATTTATATAAAATACTCCAGGGTTAGATCTCATTCTTGCTACCATCAACGTATCAGTAGAAATGAATGAACAGAATCAGAGTTTGAAAAAGACATACATATTAGCAAAGTACTGTTAAAAGATTTATTGCAATAATACAATAAAAGTTTAGAAAACATTTGTATGACTCAAACTGGCTTGAAAGTTGCAGAGCAATGGCAAATTCCTGCAACATGACACCATGAGGAGATTCTCGAATACTGTAGTTCTTTGAACAGCATGCTACCAAATGCCCTTTCCCAAATCATCAATCCATGAATCCTTAAATGAATGCTGTCCACTATACCCAATGTTGACATACTGTTTTTCGCCTTAATCTGCAGATGTGCAAAACTTTTCTTAGTCATATTCCATTACAAAAAGTGTTTAACAGACCATTTCAAGCAGCCTATTTGGTGCCTCTGGGTTTTTATTAGCATTAACTTGTTTCAACAAATCATTTTAATATGGAAAACAGGACCAAGTTCTATGGCTTTTTGTTTTTAAAAAAAAAAAAACAAAAAAAAAACCAGCTTTAATTTTCTTAAAAGCTGTTTACATACGTTTCTGGCACCTACATGAACGATTTTAATGAGCAGCAAAGAGAGTAGAAAAACAGTGGTTGAAATGTATAATTAAGAATATTTACAGGGTGGATCCAGTGCAAAATAATGAAAACCAAAATACCTCAGCAGTTGAAGCCAGTATGTTGGTGTTCATAACCACTAAAGGGTTTGATCATTTAACCCTAAGTAAAGTGCCTCTAGGTGATATTAACAACAACAAAATATACCCTATCAATCCCTAAATTTCCCATATCCTTATTAGGTTTATTGAATTACTCTAGACAGGAGTTTGTGATCTCTGGATTCTATTCTTTAGCTTCATCTCAATTCACGGTTTCGTAAGAGGCTTTTTTGAGGAAAAAACCATGACTATTATGCATCTTTCAGCTGAAGTCAGCCTTTACCCTCAGGACCCAAATCCCAGTGCTCCAACTCTCGAGGCCAAGCTCTTCTTTTTGAGGGTAGGAAGTGCTTGCACAATTCTTATCTCATGGGATTTTAAGTTCATTTGGTATTTGTTCAAGTCTGTCACACCCACTCTCTGAATTACAGGCCTGGATGGTACAACACAAGCACAGCCATCCTGGAAACAGAGCAGTTAAAACAGAAAAGCCTGTCTCCTCCCCAAGTGGGAAAGTCAGACAGTCAGGGAACTTGGGACTCCCTGATAGGAATAAACACCCTTCCGCAACTCTACTCAAAACTCTACAAAACACTAAATATACCAATAGCAAAATCTATATAGCACCTCGGATTTGGAGGCCAAGTATCATCTATAATCATTATAATGGGAAATGAAGCTAGGGCAGGGCAAACCTCCCAGTGATTTATCTGAGGTACTATCATGCTAATCACACTAACAAGATATGGTAATAATGCCTGTTAGGAATTTTTCATAGGATTTCTTTTTGTAGTTGTTACATAGGATTTTTTTTTTTTTGCAGCTACTAAAAATAAAAACTACTTACATATTTGTACATAATGCCTCTCTACGGTTTTCTTATAAGATTGTCACTAAGAGAATGACAAGAGACATTGGTTGAAGGATCTCTTGGTGAGGGAATCTTCTCCCATTGGGCTTCCTCAGCTGTAATGATTTGCTCTGCATTTCTGGGGGAAGGTAGTGTACTTACAGCAACAAAGACCTCTAGGAAGCAAACAAGCAGGATGGTTTTCCCTCGAAAAGCCTGCCGCCTATTAATCCCTTCGAAAGAAATGGGACACCAGAAGAATGAACGGAGGCCACTTCATCAAGTGGCTTTTAACCTGTGCCCAGGCAGGCAATTCGGCTTCCACAAGTGAACAACCTTCATGACTTAACCTTTCACGCACAGAAAATAAGTTCCATTTCAAAATGCACATAGTGTGAGTGGTAGGAATTCAATAATCTAGGTAAGAATGAACTTAATTCCTCTCAGGATACAAAAAACTAGGTTTAAAATCTCTAGGACATTATTGCAGCTAGAATTTCTTCTGTTCATGGATGTGGGTCCTAAAGAAAAAAAGACAAGTTTCTTTGGTGTGTGGGGAGAAAGAAAAACAGGAATGTCTGACGAACTACAACAGAGCAGCACAAGTGAAATAATTTTTAAACTACCCATTCCCCGCCCCCCAAAAAACAACACCCTTTCCAAACAAAACCGAAATCCTTGACCTAAAAACCAAACATGATCAAATTATAAAGAAATCAAGTATTTCAAATTGCCTGCTGGTTCTCTGTACAAAAATGATGGCATAAAAAACAAACTCATATTAAATAGTTTTTATCTTTCAAGTCCTGATCATCAAGAATCACTTCCTTGTGATTCAACCTCTACAACGTAAAGTGTTCAGAACAGTCTCAGCATCACAAGCACCAACATGTCAGCCTGTGTCTGTGGGTCCTGTGGCCTGTGATCAGAGGGAACCCCAAGGAATTTCTGCCTCAACAGAACTGGCCTCGTGCACTCGTGTGGGTAGAAGGACCTCTGACCCCTCTGTTCTATTAATTATCTTAAGCATGTCAGTAACCACCGTCAGCCATTTGACAAATAGAAACGCTTGTCTCCCTGCTTTAAAAAGAGCAGCAGTTGAACCTCTTTTTGTTCCAGGCACGATCTCACCTAAATACATAAAGGTCACTAGTGTACTTGCTTGACGCAGATCTGGCATGTTTCGGTCTATGCCCGTTAACGGTGTCCAGTGTAAGCTTTAAGCCAGGAGGTCACTGAGGCTGCAGCCGAGGAGATCATCCCGCCAGCACTGCTGCTGGCGATGGGTGGGGACACCTGGGTGCTCTGGCTCTGGGAGACTTCAACGGGCTGGGACGGGATGTCACAAAACCGGGGGCTCGGCAAGTTCTCCCAGTCCGTGCCCAGGTCCGTTTCCTCATCACTTATGTGCTCGTCTCCACTCTCATCCGATTCTCCAGCGACTCCCGGGTCCAAAAATTCCATGGACTCCTCGAGGTCTGCTCGCACTTCAAAGGGTCCCGACCTGTGTGCAGACAGTGAGGGGCCTCTTTAAGACAACCACCATTCTCACAACACGCGACAGTGGGTGACAAGACCTGATGAGATGCAGGAGACTCAGTTGTCACTGCACCTGGTTCCTAAGTCTATACTGTAACCACTCACTGTTGGTCTATAATTGAGGGTTTTTTTTAATCTAAATAATAACTGCCATCTAAGTAATGAATAAAATCACGATACCACACTTCTCCTCAATGCTACCTGCTTTATTTGTGAAGACTCTGGATGGGAAAACCCCACCCACTCAGACTATCCATGCTGGTCCAAAGTATGATTTCCTGTTTTAAACAACTGCCGTCAGCATCTATGCATTCCAATGCGCCAGTTCTGACAAAAACAGTCACCTAATGTATAGACTCTGGTATGTTAATGGAACAAGTATTATGTGGTATACAGAGAAAACTGTACAGATATTCTCTGCCTATGGAAGCCCCCAGTTATTAAACTCCAGACTCGAGAGCTAAATGACATGGTTGTGTGCACGTTAACAAAGCTTCCTGGGACTGGTGTCAGCAGCTCCCGCACACATTTAAGGTATCACATTTTCCAGGGACACGTTTATAGCACAGAATTATTTAGAATATATTCCTCTGGAACAGTGCACATTTCTGCACTGTATTTCACGAGAAAACTATTTTCATTTCCCAAAGGTCTCTAATAATGTCCTTGCCTCCAAATCTAATAGCCTTGCTTTCTCAGGCCTCACCCCCACCGCTCCCCAGCACCGCTGACTGGGGAGCAGAGCCCACACAGGCCCCTGCTGCTGCTCCCCTGCCCCCTTTCCAAGTGCCCATCAGCTTCTGCCTGGGGAGCCAGGCCCACATCTTGGGGGGGGGGGGGGCAGGCAGTCACTCCACCAACTGCCCCTTCCAGGGCATTTCCCTGCAACCAGCCACAGGGGAGGACCAAGTCACTCCAACAACCCCTATCTCTGCTGTTGCCCCCAATGTCTTGGTTCGCTGGTAATTAGTTTTGGGAAAATGACAGAAGTTAGCAAAAATAACGTGAAATGAGAAATATCCTAGAATTGTACAGCCTGCCATTTTAGTCTATGGTCCAAAATTCTTCACAGGCTTTATAATGATAAATAAAAGCCTAGAGGTGGCCTCCAGTGCACCTCACCAGACCTGCATCTTCTGGCTCACTTTTTCCAGGTCAAGTAGCTTTCATTCTTCCAAGACAACCCTGCTTCCCAGCTGGAACATAGCAACGGTTAGTAACAGCTAACATTTCTGTTCTGGGCACTGTTTTTATGGCTTTACAAGTATTAATTATTGGGTTGTCGGAAAAGTCACTGATACATTTTTGCAACAAAAAACAGAAAAAATATGTCATGACTTTTCTGACAACCCAATATATTGGAAGATGTCCCACAAGGCTTCCCCTCCAAGCAACTTACATTTCAAAGCGAGCCCTCAGACCAGTGGCTGCCAAGCTTACCAGGCCTCCACCCTGCCCAGAAGTGCTGATTTTGCAAGGGGTGAAGGAACAATTGGGAGGGAGTTCTTCCCACAATCTTCCTTCCTCCCTTGAAACTTGCTCAAACCAATAACCAGTATCCTAGCTCTGAGTATCCCTTTTCTGTTTCCTTAAGGTTCTCCCTTCCCTTTTTCTTATCCTTGGCAAACAGGTCTACTCCACAGACATTTTTTTCAGATTCCTCCCCTCCTAGCTCCACTCCCAAACACCCTCCCGCCTGCCAGATACCTCAGACTGAGTGTTGCTAACTTCTCAGACATCTGAGCCAGTCTACAAACGAACCTGCAGGGATTCCTCCCCCTGCCCTCATGCTCCTACCTGGTGCCACCAAACAAACCCCCTGTCCATCCTCAACGTGCCCCCAGCTCAGGTCCTCAGGGCACCACCAGCACATCCTAACTAGCCCCATCCTTCATCTGCCTCATCTCGCCAGAGAGCTGCCGCTTTCTCATGATGTTTGCCGACTAAAAGATGTTCACAATTTAGGTACCTTCGCTGGGCTCCCTCCTTTCCCAAATCAAGGCTCTCTGATTCTGTTCTGTCCAGGGACCGCCGCACCTACCATCAGGTGAAGCCTCCCAAACCCCCCAGGACCTTATCTGCCCTTGGGGTCCTCCTTGTCTATTGTCCCCAGATTCCCTCTTTAAGAGTCCTTCCAGGAGACAGGCAGGAGTGATACGAGGGGGGAGATGCTAAGTTCCTCCAGGCAGAGCCCCCTGCTAGAAGGCGCCTGGACTCCAGTTCTTGCCGTGGAATCCTATAGGGCAGGCTCTACTTGACACGGAGCAGGTGCTCATAAGTGCTTTAAATGGAAAACAAATGAGTGGATGATTCCCAAAGAGGCCGGTCTGAACAATTTTAGTTCCAATGAGAAACCTATAAGGCTGAGAACCAGGAGCAGCAGCAGAGACCCCTTCCGGAGGCCGCTGACATTTCTCCACTCTGCCCCTCTCCCATCACTTCAGCTTAATCCATTACCCGCACGGCACACCCTGTGCCGCACACACATCACACAGTTAACTAGCAAAAGAATCAAGTCTTTCTGCTTAATGTCTTTGGGGAATGCAGATTATAAAATAATTCCTTTAATTTTCAATTTAGCTGAATAATGGGTATCTTTTTATTCAAGACCCTTAAGCCAGAGTACTTATTTTCTCATGATGCTGTGGGGAGTTATCAATTAAGGCAACAAAATTACCTTTTTGGCTTTTTAAAAGTATCTTTTGCAAAATATCTTATTTCAAAAATATCTCATAGAATGTACAACCTCAAGAGTGAACCCTAATGCAGTCTATTTGGATGATAACGTGTTAAACGTAGGTGCCATCACGGTGAAGGGTCAGGTAAGACTCATCAATACACTAAATCCGGGGTGGGGGTTCTGATTAGAGACAGGCAACTGCATGGTCTCAAAGTTTCTCCCCGCACAATGCAAGGAAAGGAAACTATAGGAATTATACAGTGGAGAAGGTAGAACCCATCTTGACTGGGTGACTGAATTACCATCACTAATGAGGGACAGGTGGCCACTCTGGGCCTTCCAGATGTGATATCCAGGAGACACTCCCATGTAGGCAGTGCTCCAGCCTAGAATGCATAACCTGAACCTCATTGCGAGGAAACACTCAACCTCAAAATGAAAGTTTTATTAAAAAGAAAAGGAAAAATGCCAATGTCATAAAAGACAAAGCAGGCAGTGAAAATGTTCCCGATTTAAAGGAGGTTAAAGAGAGCAATTAAATGCAACACCTGATTCTAGACTGGCTCCTGTACTGGAGGGAGGAGATGCTATAAAGGACATTATCTGGTCCACTGACAAAAATGTGCATATGGGCAGATTAAAGCATTCTATCAATGGAGATAGAAACAACTAGCAAGCGAGCAACTGCACAAATGATAAACCAAGTGGGGTAAAACAGAATCTGGGTAAGGGGTATATTTGTCTTTCATACTATTTTTTTTTTCTTTTTTGGAATTTTTCTGTAAGTTTGAATTTATTTCAAAGGAAAAAAAGGTTATGTTGGATTCAGGATGGAATCCTCAGTCCAGCTGGTCTCAGTGGAAACAGGAAGTGTATCCAGGTTCCATTCCCAATCTCTCTAGGTCTGACTGGGGCAGGTGTGAAAAGGGGACTGGTGAAGCTTGGACCTCCTGGCTCACAACCCCGGAACTCAGCTGTGACGATAGCTGGCTGTGTATGTGTACTTTTGAAGGACAGGCCTGCTAAATGGAGGGCTGACTCAGGGGCAAGCCCGCAGAAAACTTCAGATCCTCCAAGGAAGTCCACCCCTGGTACACAATTGCCTATTTTCCTAAACCACCACCAACACTGGATATCAATTCTTTTGTTTTTGCCAAATGGATGAAAAAATGGAAATCCGTTTTGAATTGCATTTCTTTATTCTTGATTGAGGCTAAAGATTTTTTTCATTTGAACTTTTATGTGAACAGCCTGCCTGCTTGAATACTTTCTCTATTTTTCTATTAGGTTGTTTGCCTTTCTTTTATTGATGGAAAGATTTCTTTAAGTAGTCTAGATTTTAACCTGTTGTCTCTTATAGGGATTGAAAAACATATCAGTTCCTTGTCTTTTAACTTTGTTTATGCTTTCAATTACCAGAGACATTTAGAGTTTTTATACAGTAAGATGTGTAACTCCTTTCCTTTATGGTTTTTGGGGTTTGTGGCTTTTTGGGGAATTCCCTTCCCACTCTATGATTATAAAATACTATCTTTCCTCCTAGTTATAGTTTTTTAAATTAAGGTCTTTTATATCATCTGGAGTTAATTTTTGTACATGGAATGTGGTGAGTCCACTTCCCCCCCATATGACTACCCAACTGGCCCACCACCATTGAGCTGTTATGATTTCACATGCCACTCCTACCATATATTATATTCTCATTCACAGGGTCTCTTTCAACACTCTGTTCTCTTCCTCTAATTGCTCCACCTATTTGCATGCTAACAGCACCTTGTTTTATGTGCCTTCTTACTATGTTTTAAAAGGGGCCAAGCCCATCCCTTATTATAATGTTTCAAAATTTCTTGCAGATTCTTTTATAGTTAAACTTTAGAATCAGCTTGTCAAAGTTCCATGACATAGCTGTTGAAATTCTAACCAGGCTTCCTTTCTGAGAGAAGTGGCATTTTTATAATACTGGGCCTTCCCATCCTGGAACCCTAATGGTCCTCACTGGCCCTGACTCACTCAGTCCCACACCTCATACAGTGCCTGGCAGACGTTCAAGAATTACCGGATGAATAATTTTTTTAAAGTTTTATAATTTTCTTTATGTAAATTTACATATATTTTGTAAGATTACTCCTCTATAATTTATAGTTTTTGTTGCTACAGTTAAAGGGACCTTTTGTTCTATTATATTTGTAAAGAAGTTGTTGGCATACAAGAAAGCAACTTTTAAGTATGTTGATCTTTTATCTTGCCACCATATGAACCATCACTTCCAATAGTTCCTTAGTTCTTTTGGATATCTAGTTCAATAATCATACCATCTACAATAATGCCAACTTAGTTTCTTTCTTCCCAATATAAATACACCTTACTTCTTTGTTAAAATGGTTTGCTTTGGCTGGGCCTCCAGAGCAATGTTAACATAGCAGTAACAGCAGGCATCCCAGTTTCTTCCTGACTGCAGGGGTCAGCCTCTTATAGTATGTATATAAGTAACGTCATTAAGTATAGTTTTTCCCTTATGTTTATGGTAGATATCCTTTATTAATAATCTCTGCTTAATTTGCTAATAGTGTCCTTGAATTATTAACAGGAACTGAATTTGATTCACTGTTTTTCTGGCATCTATTGGGTTGATCTTATGCTTTTCTTCTTTAATGTGATGAAGTAATGTGCATTGGTTAAAAGCATGAGTATCTACTACTTTGTCATCAGCCAGATGTGTGCTGGGAACCTGGCTCCACCACTTTTACTGGCTCTGGCCATGAGCAGGAGTGACTTGACCACGGTCAGCCTCAATTACCACCACCCCACCCCGTAAGTTAGAATAATAATCTTACTTAGATTTAAGATATGTAGTTGGCCCAGTGCTCATAAATATTAGTGCTATTATTAATGATAAATTTCCTAATGTTGAACTCCTTACAAATAAGGTACAGAAGGTTTGGCAAGCAAACCCATAGAAATGAACCACTAAAACTGGGATGGATTTCTAACAGGTTTCTGTGGCTCCTGAACTAATGGGATTCAGGGCAAGGGACATGAACTCCCTATAAAATGGCACACAATTCTGGGTGTATGTGCAGCTTCCTGGAGAGAGGTCATACCTTTTTTTCAAAGGACTCTATGTCCTAGAAAAGTTAACTACTGTTTTGGGCAGAGGGAGGGGAGCAACACAAGACAGTGGTTAAGGGCAGCTTAATTACCACAGAAAGTTCACTGCAGTGTGGCGAAAGCCAGGCACCCTGGTCAGTGGAGGGGACTCCCCTTGAGTGTTGGTTCCAATGTCAAAGCAAATGGAATGATGGGGGAGGGGGTCCCACAAGAATTTTCCTACCTTTGATTTGTGTTTGTCCTCTTTCAAAAGTTCAAATACGTTAACCAAGTCATATCTGCAGAAATGCATGGACAGGCTGCTAAGAGCAAGGAACAAAGATAAGCACCTAGAGGGGGGAGCGCTAGGATGGTATCAAAGAGAAGCCTCCTCTGTGTCAAGCTTTTATGGGCTGAGAGACTGAAAAGACCCCACAGACCAGTCCTGCTTGGTCTGTTTTGTTACTGACTCCTGTTTTTACGCTACTTCACCCCATAAACATCTCATACCATCTCCAACGAATGGAAGCCAGATTGACTCAGTGACAAAAAGAGAATTGGAAGAACTGTTATGATGGGAAGGAAGGAGCAGGCACCAAAGAAAATGTGTAAGAAACGGGATAAAAACCGACAGGGCTAGAGAAGAAACAGACATGGATTCAGAGAAATGGCATTTCATCATTAGGGACAGCACAACAGGGCCCCACTCCAGCACCCCCCGGTTCTTCTGTTCCATTTTAGGAATTAAAAATGTTTGATATTAATTTTTTCTGAGAAATAATTATGTAAGGACCATAATGGCTCCACTACGATTAGCCCGTCTCCTTCTGTATAGGACTGCACGGTTTTTGTATCCCGAGCAGAGTCTGGGGCTGAGGAACAGGCCCCTGTCCTCTGCCAACACATATAGCTCCTGCTTATCAGTAGTCACAACAGTGCCACTTAGAGAAAAGCAACAAACACCCTTCTTACCTGCCCAGGTGTTCAGAGTTCGGGCTGACCAGGTACATTAGATTCCTGAGGGTATGCAGTGGTTGTAATTGATCTAAATTTACATGCTAAAAAAAGCAAAAAATTGATTACTATTTTCAATCAGGTAAGAAATTAAAAATTAGTTCAGAGCACATTTTTCATACCTGAGAAAAGCACAGGTAAAGAATATTTGCATTCAGTTTCTTCACTGCTCGAGTAAATTTCTGTCTGCTGAGATTTTCCCCGCAAAATTCACTGTAAAACAAACATATAATGTGTAAAGTTGTACGTTTTTGAGGAAATTCTATGTTAAAATGTTCATTTTGAAGAGTATGCTTTACACTACAGCTCAGTATAAAACATAGCTTGTAGCCTTCGCCTCTTAATAAATTGTAATTAGAAACTTGCTAAGAATGAACTGTTGCCCTCGTGGAGCAATTTCACTGCATCTATATAACAACTACAAATACCTAGACCCTCTGACCAAGCAACTCCACTTCTGAAAATGTATCTACATAAACACTTCATACTAATGAAATGATGGATGTGTAAGATTATTCCTGAAATATAAACAGAGGACAGGTAAGATCCTGGAACATTTATAAAAAAGAAAACTCGGCAACTGTCCCCTTTATGCAGAATGACGGCTGAAGGCTCACGTGGCCCTACAGGACCCACACGATTTCCACCCCCACCTTCCTCGCTGCCCTCGGTCTCTACTGCTCTCCTCACAGCTAGCTCACTCTTCCGGGGGCTTTGCCCGCCTCTCTGCCCACAGCCTCTTTCCCAAGGTCCACTCTCCCTTCCTTCCCTGGGTACACACATGTCCACACACGCCTGCCCACCCGCACACAGCAAGCCCTTCCCTGCCTCCACATCCCTTCTTTCGCCCTGCCTTAATGTTCTCCACAGTGCTTGTCACCATCTAAACATACTGCTGATTATCTGTCCTTCATTAAAATTAAGTACCATGAGGGTAAGGATTATGTTTTCATCACCATTATACCCTGTAGTATCTAGAACAGTGCCTGGAACATAGTAAGCACTCAATATTTGCTAAATAAATACAAACTTAAAAAAAAAGATGCAAAACACCTCAGTATAGCATGATACTTTTGTGTTTAAAGGGAGGAGATGGTAACCATATTTATATTTGCTTGAAATGCAAGGATAACTGGAGGGGGATAGGAAGGTCTTAGTAGGAATCAGGTCAACTGAAACCGTTAGATTTTTTTGAATTTTAAACCACGTTTTTATTTTAAAAAATCAAACAAAAAAAAAACCACTTAAAAGTGTTTCAATTTACCCAATTCTTGCACATGAGCATACACTCTGAGTATCCTGGTGTTCCCTTGATTATTTTTTCAAGTGAGAGAAACACTTCATGTGCAATTGTAAGATAACACCAATTTGCACCACATGAGGCTTCTGAAATTTATCTCAGTATCTTAATAGTCAGACTTTCTGTCTGGGTAACACTTAAATTCTTGTTTTTTATTTAATCAGAATAAATAAGAACAATAGAACATGAGAGATCCATGACAAAGAAGACATCACCACTTCAGTTACTTGCCTGTTGCACAGCTTTTTGGGAAGATTGACGTCGAGTATGTGAGACAAGATGTTGACCAGCTGGGTCGCATAGCACAACGCAGCACTGATCGTGTAAGCGGGGTTATTATGCTCCATGTCTAAAGTATGAAGACAACAGCCACACACAAAACAACTTTAATTTCAACAAAAATATGAACGAAGCTACATTTTATGATTTCTAATTTTATCACTATATTCCTGGTTATGTATTACCGTATTTGCCGGCGTATAAGACGACTGGGCGTATAAGACGACCCCCTAACATTTCCACTCAAAATACAGAGTTTGTTATATACTCGCTGTATAAGACTACCCCCTCTTCCGCACACCTTCCACACACCAAATAAAAGGTAAAACAATATCAGATTTGATTTGGCCCACTGAAGTGCAAACAAGCGTATTGTATTTCGTGTCACCACATAACCGTTTTGGCGATGTTGAGCCACCATGTCTGCTACATGTTTTTCGAGTTCTGGCCAGTGTGGGGTGCCTCTTCTTAATGCACACTTACCCCTTGGCATACTCTTTAATGCTTTCTCATTTGATTTCCAGTCCCGAACCATCTTTTCTGTTACTCCATATTGTCTTGCAGCAGCACAATTATTATTTTCCTTAGCAAAGTTTATAACTTTCAGTTTAAAATTTGCATCATACTTCTTTCTTTTGGCTGGTGCCATGATAGGGATGATAGGGGTTTGACTGGTCGACATTTTCTATGCTGCACTGTACAATGGTGCAGTATTGTGGTTGGCTGTTGGCTGTATACAAAGCCTGATTTGATTGGTCCCTGCTCCCTGTTTGCCCGCCCTGTCACTATAGCAGTCTGGTCCACCCTTGCATCAGCATCTCCCTGGGACCTCACTAGTGCGCAAGTGCGAGCTCTTCAACATTCTAACAGGCACCATGATAGCGCAAAATCGCGAATCTTCAATGCATATATAAAGAAATATACGGTAACCCGAATTTACCACACTCGCAAAATCGCACACAGCCGACCATACACCCAGTATGGTATCGCGATTCGCGATTTTGCGCTATCATACTGGGTGTATGGTCGGCTGTGTGCGATTTTGCGAGTGTGGTAAAATCGCATAACAGCAAAATCGCATAACAGCCGAGCATACACCCAGCAGCGCTGCTGATGCCTGAACGGTATGTGGAATGAAGTGGGCGGGCATCGGGAGGCCACTATGGCACGGGGCAAGCACTATGGGCAGTCTATCTGAAGTGTACCTGGCGTATAAGACGACCCCCCACTTGGAGGCATATTTTTCAGGGCCAAAAAATCGTCTTATACGCCGGCAAATACGGTACTCCTTACTAATAGAAGGTCCATGGCCAGACATTAATGTTTCACTGCTTATGGTTTTGCTGAGTGAAATGTAACCTAAGCAAATGGGCCTGAACAGGCCTAGCATAAATGAAATGAAAGTCTGAACTGCTTGGACCTGATAATTATTTATCAGAACTAGTGCCAAACTTAAACGTCACCTCCCAAGAGAGGCCTCCCCTGACTGCCCCGTGGAAAAGTAGCCCCTTCCTCTGCAGCTAGTTCTGCCCCCGGCACACTCCGGGGATGGAACTTTTGATCACTACTTGCTTCCTGTTCTTCTCCCCACAGAGAGACAAAGGACTACACCTGTCTTGGTAACATTACCTTTGTATCATCAGCATTGCGCATGACAGAAAGCACGTAAATTTGCTGAATGAGTAAATGAATAATCTTCCATCACCAAAGAGAAGCTGCAAGAGTTTTAAAAGGTTTCTCTATTGCTATACTCAATCTTCATTTAGAACTGCTAAAACAAGCTCTTTACAATGTTAAAAACTATACAAATGGGACTCAGGCTAAATACACTTCTTTAAATAGTGAGGTCTTGTTATACAAATAAAGCAATATGGACCCCCCAAAAGTGAAGTAGCTAAAATATGTATGTTTTCAGTCCATCCAGATGTATATACTATATGTGGTCTATCCATACAGTGGAATGTCATTCAGTCATAAAAAAAAAATGAAACACTGATAGATGCAACAATGTGGATAAACCTGGAAAACATGCTAAGTAAAAAGAAAAGCCAGATGGAAAAGACCACATATTGTATGATCCCATTTATATGAACTACCCAGAACAGACACAACTATACAGCAAGTGGACTAGTGGTTTCCAGGGGCTGGGAGGAGAGAGGGGTGAGGAGTGACGGCTTCATGCCCTGGGGTTTCACTTGGGGTGATGAGAATGCTCTAGAACTTGATAGAGGTGATGGCAGTGCAGCGCTACGAATGTCCTAAGTGCCACTGAATTGTTCACTTTAAAACTGTTCATTTTGTTAACATACATTTTTGCCTCATCTAAAAAATGTGTGTGTTTATAAAAGTTTGCAAAGACTATTTTGCTTCTCACCAGGTCCCTGCGTGGTTTTCTTCTCTTCCACCCAGTTGTAGTAGGCAGAGTAGTCCCCGTTGTTGGGAAGGCTGATCCAAGGCCCTGTGATGCTAATACTGGTGTCCCCATTGTGGTCGTCACAGACCCATCTCCCAGACAGGTAGGTCGTCCTCCGGGCTTCAGCAAGCTTGCTCACAGTGCTGGAGGTCATGGCGCTGTCACTCTCGGAAGACACATCTGCGGGATCTCTAAAAACCAGAAGATGCAAGCGGATTTCAAGGGACTGGGTTTTAAAGAGTGTATACTTGTCAGATATGTAGAACACTGAAAAGATGCACATGAGGCCAGGAATTTACTTGGAATAAACATAGATAAGTGATTGCTATCAGAGATGATCACATCAGTTGTAGTACAGAAGCCCACACCTGTGTGAGGACGGTGGCACCATGAACGAAGGCCTCAAATATCAGGTTCTCAAATGACTTGGTCTCAAGATCCCTTTATGTGCTTACAATTTTCTGAGGACCCCAAAAAGCTTTTGTGAATGTGGGTTGGATCTATTGATACTTACTATATTAGAAATCTGAGAAAATTTTAAATTGTTAATTTCATTTGAAAATAATAAACCTGTTATATGTGAACATAGCATATCTTTGGGAAGTGACAGGAGATGGTGTTGGAAATGTAGGTAGGAAATGGGTGGACTAGGGAGGGCTTTCTGTGCTGCACTAAGTGTCGATTCTGTCCTCTTGGCCAGTGGTTCTCCATCCTTGTTCCTTCTGCCACAACACACATGTAAGGCAACGCCTCCTGGCTGTCACAGATAAGACTGGCGCAAGCGTACTAGGGCCAATTCTAAGATCTTGCTACGTCTTCCTTCTCCCACTCAAGGAATTCTAAGAAATGTGAATGAACAAGAAATCTCATTATAGGAATAACTTCAAAATTATCAGCTTAAAAAAAGATAATGGTATATAATAATATATACTAGAAAAAATTTTCAACAGCACTGAGAGAAAGGACAAAGTTTTTCTGTTTTCTCTTCTGCAATTTGTGTGCAGTTGTCCCTCTCCTTATGTCCTAAAATCTGGAATGGGGCCCCAGTCTGTGTTTACTGCAATGTCTGTAACATTGCTGTCTTGGTTGTGAGAATTTGGCATAACGTTTCTGTTTTGTCGGCCTTTTTCTCCCCTTTGGCCTGGTCAGTTGTCTTTATACCAATTTTCGGGTAATCCAACTTTTCCCCACTGATCCAAAAAGGCACCTCAGGGGTTTATTTCGGAACGTTCTGTTCTGCTCTCTTTTGAATCTGCCTTTTTATTTTATTACTATTGCTAATGGCAAATTACTTGCTAAGAGTCAGACAGGAGGTTTTCAAACTAGAAGCAACAGACTTTTAAGCTTTTAGGAAGCTAACTTTGGCAGCAGCAGACAAAGGGACAGATTGAAGCAGAGGTAGCAAAGAACAGTTACACAGCCAGCAACAGTCCACTGACTGTCCAATTCCAGGGAAAAGGGCTGGGAAGTGAGGGCGACCAGAAGAGACAGGAAAATCTTCAATGGAACAGGCTGGTGGTTAGTGAGGAAGCAAATGAAACTCTTCAGTGGTAGTTTCTAAGCCTGGCTGCTCACCAGCACCATCTGGGCAAGTTTAAAAATATAAAAGTATTTTGAGCCGGACTGGGAGGTTGGAGGTGTGTCCTCTGAATCTACATTTTCCAAAAGCTCCTGGGTAACTCTGATGAACAGCCAGGTGGGGAACCACTGTCTTGCCATCCCATCGACTCCTGGGGGTATCCATGAATGACAGCCTAAGACTAGACTCGCGGTATTGAGTGCTCGCTGGTGGTTAAGGCTAAGTCACTATGTGGTGCCCACCATGGAAGAGACCCCAAGCATTAGGTGTTTTTTTCCATTTTAGTTCTTTATTTCTCTGTGAAGTAGGCATTTATTATCCCCATCTGACAGCCAAGGAAATAAGACAGTGAGATTCAAGAACCTGCCTCACAGCATACAACTAATAAACAACCTGACTGGGGTTGCAGCTGACATCAGCCACCTAATGGTTCTTGACCAGGGGTGAGTCAGTGCCTCGTCACGAAGCTCTGTAAACATACATAAGCCTGGGCCCTCCTCCTCCAAGGGCCACCGCCCTTCACCTTGGCCACCTCCCCAACTTGGTGCAGCGTGTACTATTTGCTGAAGCAGATAAGACTTGTTTCATTACCAGGAAAACCAATGGCCTCAGAATGAGGCTCAATAAATGAGGTGCTGACGTACTTGAAAAGTACTTGATCTTTGGAACCTGATCTATTCCTAGAGTCAAAAGGCTCGCTTACTGTACCTCACAGCAGTCTTTACTTCCTCGATTGGAAAAATGACAGATGTGAGCTCTAATATTTGAGATCGCCGAAGATTTGCCAGACGCTCATAGTGACTTCTTAAGTCAATGGTTTTTTTTTCTACTAAGTCACCAAGTTTGCGATTGTGCCTCTGGATCTTCTCCTTTTTCTCTTGATGCCGTTGTGCTCGAGTGTAAAGCTTCTGATTCTTTTCCTTGGTTCTGAGAAGGCCTTCGGAATCTAAAACAAATCATACCCAACAATTATCTCTACAAATAGTTCCTGGGTACTGCAGAACCCCACCCCACAAGCATAAATGTCTTCCTGCAGCCTAAACCGAAAGCAAAACCTCAATAAAATTAACTGAATAATGTTCACTAAGTAGAAATTGAGAGCTTAGTTCAAATAGATAATACACATAAAGCAAAGGGGACCACCACTAAAAGGACTCTGGGTCTCCATTTGTAATTATCCTTAGTAAGATCACTCAATGACTATCAAGTTTAAATTTAGCACAGAAGTACCTGACTTTCTTACTGTGAGCACCAAAGAACAGCCACATTGGGCAGAAAAGAGATCTAATTCAAGTTTATATAAAACTTATTGGCTAATTTTCCTTAGAAACCTCTTAAGTGTGCCTTGGGTTACATTCAGAGAACTCAGGGATAATCTCACAGCAGGTGGTTATGCAGCAAAGAAATAGACCAAGAGCTCTGAAGTCACAGGGGAGTGCAGAGCACCCAGCAGGGTGGGAGCACCTGTCTGGTGAACACCTACTATATGCCAGCATTTTAAGCACTGCAAGGGCCACAAAAGTCTGGCCGCACAGCCAAGGAGGAGACAGACACCCACCCTGTCTGATTTATGTTGTTTTTGTGGAGTTCCTTCAGGTTTTGGATTCCAAGACCTGTTAGGGATGTGGGGTTGTAGCTAAACTTCTCTACAGTAGCAAACACAAGGTGTAAAATCTCAAGACAGACACCTAGGAAAGACTTCAAAATCAAGCTCACTATTTTTCCAGGAAAGTTTCTTCTGGATACGTTGTATGCTAGGTTCTCAATTTCATAATTATTTTTGACCTGTCCACTGCCTAACTCACAGTCCCTCAGGTCAATTCCATGAGCTATGTTATAGTTCCTTATATTCAGGGCTTTTTTTTTTTTTTTCCATTTCTACTATCACAATTTTATTAACTCTCATCAAAACTCTGCCTACCTCCAGCATGGCTCCACTCACGCCCTTTCACTGGCTCAGTCTTCAGAAGCTATAGTTAGTGCTCAGCAGTTCTCCACTGCTGATCAAATACAGACCAAACTCCTGGGCCTCCAGATCACCTGTTATATATCCCACAGTTCCCTTCTGTCCCATTCACTCTAGTCTCACTCAGTTACTAGATACTTCAAATCCTTTCCACAAGGTGGAACTAGTTAAGTAAATGTGTGGACGGATGGATGGATGATTGACAGATGGATGCTGAATGAGTCATAATTCCTTAAACACTCATCCCCATCCTGTTGTTCAAATCAGCATCTCTCTAGGAGTGCTCTCTGTTTGCTCTTCTCCATATTTTACTCATTGAGCAAGGCCCCCCTCCATAAACACTCCCCAGACCTCTTGCTCCTCAGAACTCCATGGTAATATGTGTGCACCTCACCTATGGCACATAGCTCTTAGTTGCTTATACCAGATCCAACTGAAGCTGTGTCGTCTCCTGACTAGAATAAAATAAGCATCTGATAATTATCTCTGGACTGAAATCACCATATTTAACCGAGGACCACAGAACGTAGGTATTTCATTGCAGGCATAAGGTTTCTTACAGTTTTATTTCTCCTTGGATGCACCTCTTTACCACTCCTGCTCAATGTCAAGTCCTAAAGGTTAAGTCTGTGGTTCTATCACACACTTTCCAGCAAGTTCATTCTTTTCATGATCTTTCCTGAGCTCTTTACAAGTGCTCAGATGAATCTGCCTAGGTATGGCCCTGAGTCCTATGATGGTTAGATTTCTAAAGGACAGTTTCCCATCTAATATCATGACCCCTCCTCTTTATAGGAGGCAGGAAATCATCTGTCACCCAACCAGCACAAGTGCAAGACTCAGCACTCAAGAGTCTAGTTTGTCCTTCTCTCCGGGCCATCTCCCCCTAAACGTCAGAACATTCTGATGCTATTTCTGTAATCTCCTCCCACATCTTTGGATAAATACCTTTGTCTGCTCAACCCTGAAGTTTCATACAATCCAGCTTCCCTATCTATGCTGTATTATTCTGTATCATGGTACCTTAAATCAAGAGACTGGAGAAATATTCTTCAGGCTCTACAGTTTATAATTTATGCCCTTTTTTGAATATATTTGGATATATTTAATATTTCAAAAACAAAGTTATAAAGACAAACTATTTATTGTGGAGCAAGCTCTTATTCCATAGACTTGAGTCCATGCATGGCTTCTTGAATCCATTATCTCCTTTAAAATTGTTGCAAAAAGTTGTGGGAGTGGCAACCAGATTGTATTTACGTTCTAACAAGCAGTAGTTCCCAGCCCTGGCAAGTCATCAGAACCATCGAGAGTGGTGCTACTCAAAGTGTGGCCTATGGGTCTGGGCCTGTCTGCAAACTTTCACCAATCAGACAAGAGAAGTACAGAAATACAGGGTAAGTTCAGAAACTTTTTTCTTCGACATGGCAATTTGATATTGCCATACCATTTAAGCATGCGATCATTTTTTCTAGTAATTTTATTGTATTTTACAAAAGTATTGGTATCCGTTTATGAGAGAGTGGAAATCAAACAGAAATAAAACTGGGTTTCTACTACAAACAGTTTAAGAGCCACTAACTCAGTCCCCATGCATGAGATTTTAATTTCTTAAATCCAGGGTGGGTCCCAAGAGTCTCTAGATTTTAAAAAGATCACCAGGTCCCTCTGCTAGGGTCCACTGCTTTAGAACCCTATCTTTTCTGTGGTTGTTGCTTTTGTATTTTGGAGTTAGGAATCTATTAGAGCTGATCAAAGTTTTAAACTTGCTCATCAGAGACATGCACATGCTCAGTAAATCCAGCAATGTCAGGAGGTTCTCGGACACCTGGGGGCAAACCCCTGGTGTGAACTTCATAGGAGGATGGAGGGAGAGGTGAGCCAGTGGTAAGTAACGAGCCCCTACACCGCTGCTTCACCAGTCTGGAGAATGTGTGCAAAGCTCAGCGGGTAAGCGGCGGTCTGGAGTTCTGAGCACCTCTCCGTCGTGCTGCCCTGCTTCGCTAGCTTCTTAATCCCACGAAACTCCATGAGCACTTTATGAGGACAAACATTTTCAAAGGAAGCTTTTATACCATTACATGTCACTATAAAATACTTGCTTCTGGAAGCAATGAGTAGAGAAGAAAGGGATTCACAAGGTATGACGGTGACTCATTCGAAACTTTAAACACTGACCTTCAGAGAGAGGGTGTTTCTAAGGATGCAGAATTTCTAAGAGGGCTCTCTTAAATTTTGACACTCACCTATGATAAAGTATGAACTGTACAAATATAATGTAAGATTAAAACAGATAAAAATATGTATAAGACACACTATGGAAGAAAAAGCCAGTATTCTGTGCTTTTGGTAGGAGCTAATAGTTATGATAAATGGGTGCCAAGTTAGACTTTGAGCTTCTTGCTAGCTAAGGGAATTAGGAAACATACATTCCTTAATTTTTTAAAGTGAGAAAGGTAGCAGGTTATTTAAAGGTCTTCATATAAAAATTCCTTACACAAATGTTTTATGAAAGGAAGACAGGCAGTAAACTTTTCCAAGCTGCTATTGCTCCCCTCTCTCTCTCTCTCTCTCTCTCTCTCTCTCTCTCTCTCTCTAGTTTATTAATCTCATGAAATTCCACAGGAGCCTTTTATTAGGGCTGGAAGGAGGGGGTCAAATTACTTACTTTTCTTCATTTCTTCATTTCCTTTACATATTGTTTGTTTCAGTTGTTCGATTCTCATCTTGCAGGACATTATTTTCCATCTCTTAAAAAGTATGCAATAAATATCAGAAACGGTCTCTTAAATTAAATGATCATCTACCTGGTATCACTACCTATTTTTCAGGTATACCTTAGAAAGTATAATCAGGAAAAGACCAATATAATTATATTTATTACAGCTTTAGTAAGTATGGTCAATTAAAAGTCAATTACATAAAATAAAAATATTCAGTTCCTTACTCACACTACCCACATGTCAACACCTCCTGTGGTTAATGGCGACCACGTTGTTCTGTGCAGATATAGAACAACTGCATCATCACAGAAACGTCAATTACTGACACACTGATCTAAACTCTTAGTGCTACTTACAGAGACCATTAACGTCACTGTATTAACTCCCTGATATAATAAACACGTATTACTTCCAAATAATTAAAACTGCAATAAAACAGAGGTTTAAAAAAAAGTATGGACTTCATGTAATATTTCTTGAAAAGCCTTAGACAGTTATATGAAATATGAAATTTACTCTTTACGTTACCAGGATTTAGGTACAGCCTCCCCCAAGGTGAATAAAGGCTCAGTAAAAATGCGACCTAGTAGTTTAAAAGTCTGATGATCTATTCTATAATGGCTCCATAAATGTGGCTAACTAAAAGCTTAACCCTCCATTAGGCACAACCGATCTCACGGATACATTGCACACAAAGATGCTGCTATGAAATACGTCTTTACTGTACTAAGTCACAAACACGACTGGCGACAGAGGTTACGGTAGAGGGGGAAGATATGGAAGCGATGAGTCACGATACTTAAGTTAACTGTTAGATATTTGAAAATACGTGTGCAATGAGTCTGTGAGATCAGCTGCGCCCGATGGAGGGTTAAAACAATATTTAAATGTCTGCAGTGTTTGACGCTTGCCTAAGTGATCTGATAGTGCAGACACACAGTGGGTTACAGGGAAGTTCTGGTGAGCAAAATGCTAGCCTCTCCCCTGGAGCAAAAGAGAGTTCTGAAAACAGATCATGAAGACTGATGGGTTCAGGAAGGAACTGGCAATGATATGGCTTTACTTTCAAAAGATATTACTCTTAAAAAAAATCAATACTGAAGTTTTTGATAGAAAAACTGGAAATCAATACAGGGAATGTAGAAAAACAGAGATAGGATTCTTGATAAATAGTCTGTAGGATCTTTTTCCATACAACATATTTTGTTTCTACAACGTTCAGAGCATGCACATTAGTCACTTCTATCACAAATATTCTTTACCGTAAGTTATTATTTAAAAATTATGAGCGAAGCTTATTATTGTGGAAAAAATTACTCATCACAAAAGAGAAAAAAAGAAAGTGACTGTTATCCTGACTCCTTCCCATTCCTCGGGGGTAATCTCAATTAAAGTTTGGTATCTTCAGATTTTTTAAAGTACATTTATATTTAAAACGCATACACAAGTGGAATCATACTTTAGCCTACTTTTTGTTTGCTTTTTCATTAAAAGATATATCTTGGCCATCGCTCTGTATCAGTGCATGTAGACGACCTCACTCTTTTGGACAGTTACACAGCATCATCACTATTTACCCCATTCTGCTTAACTAGCATTTAGATTATTTATGTATTAACTTTACTACTAGTGCTGCAGACAATCAGCTTCTTTATCCGTGAATCTCTGCATTCATGTTCATTTAATCCTTAGGGTGAAAATTGCCAGATATACCACATGTGCACTGAAAATACAACAAACCACCACCCAATTGTCTCCCAAATATGTCAACGTATATTCCCACCAAAAGTGAATAAAGATTTTGTCAACCAAACTCCTTATTTTCATATGTTGTACTAATTTCTTCCCAGTTTATATTCATTTTGCTTATTTATAAAGGTCCTCTCACCCCCAGATTACATAAACACTCTTCCATGTTTTCTTTTCATGTTTTTATGAGTTTACTCTTCATATTTAATCATTAATCATCTAGAACATGTGTTTATGATAATTTTTCTCAAAAAGGACAACCCACTGTTTATATTTGTATATCAATACCAGACTTCATCTGAAGTCTCCATAATTAATTACCAGTACTCTGTTTTTCGGTATCCAGATGAAATATTTGAGAAGCCCTTACTACAAATAAATTCAAAGAGAGGACCACCAAAAATGATAAAAAATAAATTTAAATTCAAAATGATTTAAGCTCTACCAACTAAAAACATGTAATCTCAAGTATAAAGAATATTATTTAAATAATTCTTATAGCTTACCAACTGATCTGTTATCCATTTTCCTTCCATAGCTTTTAACACTCTGTATGGACAAGAGATATAGAGAATAAACTATTAAAACAAAATTTTGTGAAGCTCAAAACTGTCAAATCAACAACTTTTTAACATAAGGTCTTACAAATGACTAGAAATACCAAAGTGGGACTTAAGCATTTAAAAGTGTTTTCCAAATTCCATTTTCTGCAATTTTTTCTCACCTCCTTCCTTTTGCAGTTCTAACAGTCCAGAGCCCTTCTATAAATGTTCACAATAAACTTTCATAACAGCCAAAGCCTTTGTCCTCAGTCATAATCAACGATTTCCATCAGTCATGATTAATAATAATTACAAGAGAATTCATGATTGAAATGCTATGATCATCTCCCAAAGAAATGGCTCAAGCCAGTATCTGCAAAAATTTGTTTCACTGAATGAAGTGTTCTATAAAAATGTTTCTGTAATCACATAAATTAGAGAAATGACTGAGTTAAATAAATCCACGCAGGTTTCTCTAATGCAGGGCATCTCAGGAGATCTAATCCGCTTATCAATGTGTTTATCAGACCCAGAGTGTGTCTAGAGAACAGTGACCGGGTCAGTTTGGGGCAGAAGGTTCTATAGGACAGTTCTCAAATCCAGAGGGTGAGAGATTCATCAGGGGTGCTTGTTAATAACTCAGGTTCCCAGACCTCCCCACCTACCCACTGAATCAGAATATCTGAGGATAGGATTTCAAGAATCTGCATTTTTAACCATTACCTCAGTGAATGAATTCTGACATAGATGATCTGCAGACCACACTTTGAAAAACACTGATAGGGAAGGAGAAAAGTAAACGGAAGCAGGAGCATCCTACAGGAGCCACCATCACTCCCTTAAGTCTATACTATGCCGACAGTCCTGGACCCGTTTGCCATATATCAACTATCAGGGCCAGGGGTTTGACTCATCCGTCCAGTCACTGAGTGCCTACTGTATACCAGACACTGTTTTTCTAGAAACTTGATAATTTCCTATGTTGCTTCTCCAAGATGTACTGCTTGCTCTTCCACTCTTTGAGATTGTGTTTTACGTTTAATGAGTTAGCAATCCCTGTATCTGCATCCACAGCACTGAACTAAATAAACCACATGTTATCACCACAAATTATAAAGCCAAATGAAAACTCACTCTTTTTGAAATTCTTCTTGCTTGCTTTTAAGTTGGCTTAACCGTTCCTTCTTGTCTATAAACCTGAAAGAAAAAAATTCAATATTTTATTTAAATGTTTGTTTTCTCCAGTTCAATGAGTTTATGCAAATTCCTGAGAGCCAATCACGTCTGCAGACTTGTGAAAATGTCACTGTCTTGATAGTAAGTACTGTACACATCTTCTCAATGGGGTGCACACAGCTGTTTACTGCTTGGTTATTTTAAAACGAAGTTCAAATTCTCAGCTTTATAATTCTTTCATGGGTTTATAAAATATGTCTGTAGGTTTCCCCCCCACAAGTTAAATTATTTTCCAAAACAGACACATCAAAGCACTAAAGTGAATTCAAAGAAACTGAGACTTTCGTTATAAAAATAATTTTAACTATGAAGCTTCATTTATAAACTGGTTCTTTACAGTCTTTAAAGGACATTTTTTTTCTTACTGATTTTATGGCTAGTCATTGCAGGTTAACAAGTTACTTAATAAAAGTTATCCAAAGGAAGGGATATCATACTGCAGTTCATTTTCTCTGTTTGTCAGTCTCCTACCCTTATCTTTATTATCTTCTTCCTGTTACCTTAGTTGGGGTTCAGTTTGCCTTTTTTTTCTTGTAATTGGAAACTCAAATCATCGATTTTACACCTCCCTTCCTTTCTAATAAAACCATACAAAGTTACAAATTTCCCCCAAGTATTGCTTTAGCTAAACCTAAAGTTTGTGATATGACATATTTTCATTATCATTTAGTTTGAAATTTCTAACTTTCCATAAGATTCCTTCTTTGACTCGTAAGTTATTTAAAAGTGTATTGTTTAATTTCCAAAAACATGGGCTTTTCTTGGTAACTTATTGTTACTGTCTTCTAATTTAATTCTGATGTGGTCACAGAATATACTCCGAGATTTCAACCCTTTGATGTGTGACTGCCTTGTGGCCTTGAATTTGGTTTGCCTTGGTGAAAGTTACATGTGCACTTGAAAGAATGTGTATTCTACAGCTGTTGGGTACCATGCTCTATAAATGTTACCTAGCGGAAGGGGGCTAACAGTGTCATTCAGATGGAGATCTGTGCTGTTCAAGATGGCGGCCACCAGTCACACGTGGTTACTGAACACCTAACATGTAGTTTGTTAGAATTTGGTTAAAAAAATTTTGTGACCAACATCATGCAACTGATTTTCAATTGAGCTAACAGTGGCTCACTACTGTTGTCAAGGAAACAATGACAATGGCACATTCTACAGTGACATGTTATGGAGTCTAAGAAGAGGCTTTTTTTTTTGGCTGTCTCCTGAATCCCTAGCCTAAATGAAAACGATTTGACAGATAACAGCCCTAAAAATATCTCTTCCTTAAAATAACCCAGAAGTCTCTCTACAACACTATTTCTGTAGCCCCATGTTTGACACATACCCAAAGATATCTGCTTCTAAATGGAAAGGAAAAATGGTCTATGACTCTACCACTTAATAGTCACAGAAAATGTATAATACACAATACATTAAACAAAAAAGCAAATCAGGCAATATTATGTGACCATTATAGGTTTATATGACTAAGTTAAAATTAAATTAAAAATTCAGTTCCTCCGTTGCACTAACATTTCAACAGCCCTGTGTGGCTGGCGGCTGCCATACTGGACAGTGCAGATACAGAACATCGTTGCAGAAAGTTCTACTGGATAGCACGGCAATGACCAGTAAGATGGTAACTGTATGAAACAGCATGAGAACACTCAGAAACCAATGTGGAATGTAGACAAACGCACAGATTTCATCAATTAACTTATCAGGCTTTTACTATGTGCCTGTAACTCGTAACAAAGGATCTTCCACAATATTAAGAAATCTAGTGATACATTTCTGCAGCTGATTGTATACTCTTTTGGACATATTAGTTATTTGTTATATACTTCCATTTCCTTGTATCACAAGTGAGAAACTAATGTGTTATTTCTCTCTCGCTAAGGCAATGTGGTGATTCACGTCCCCATACCTGAAGGAGAGGACAAACTGCCAACACTCATCAAACCATGCAAACAAAGGTCTGACTGAGAGGATAAAATCTTGGTTTTAAGGGTTATAAAAGTTCTCCTTTTAGATCTGTTGTAAAAATGCCACTCCACTTTGCACTAAAACAAACTGGGGTGACAACTCTGTCCAGCTTTATATAGAGCTGGTTGATTCTCTTGAGATTTGTTTAAAAAAATAATAATTTTAAAACATATACAGATGACAGCAGGAATAATAAAAAGATAAATCCTACTGTATCAAACACTGCATGGGTCATGTTATCCTTCACGAAGGAAATTAAAAATAGGTGGTGTTAAAGCTAAACAGGATATGATATAAAGGAATGTGGCTGGGTCAGCATTTCACTACTCATCAGCACACTCATCCATTCTCTGCATTCTCTGTGCCACACTCATGGACACAGACAAAAAGTTCATTCCACAGGTCTGTGCTTTCTCAGCATGGTTTCCAACAAGCGGAAAGAATAACAATAGACAGTCATCATATTCAAATAAGACTTAATGATACATAGTTTATCTTTATAAAAAGGAGGGGGAATGTATCATATTATGTACTGTCAAGAATTTCACTGAGGGCCAGCCGAGTGACGCATTGGTTAAGAGCTGGCTTGGGATGCCAGAGGGCCCCTGTTCGGATCCCACATGAGGGCCAGTGACACTGCCCTCTACAGCTAAGATGGTGAACAACAGCTCGACCTGGAGCTAGGCTGCCATGAGTTGCCGGCGACGGCATAGGATGCAGCCTCTGCTGCAGTGGGCTGCCATAAGCTACCACGTGTGGCCGGCAGCCAGCATGAGCGGATGGCAGCCAAGTGTGAGCTGCCAAGAGCCGCCGGTGAGTGGCAGACCAGAGGCCGGTGACCGATCTGCCTCACCTGGGAAGAGTGCAATAACAATACAAACATGGGCCAGTGAAGCAACGTCCTCCACAACTAGAATGAACAACAAAAAGACAGCAACTTGTCTGTTCCCCTTCCCCCGATTCCCCAACGTTGTTCCCCTCTCCCAATTCCCCAATAAAATCTTTAAAAAAGAATTTCATTGAACAGACATTATATAATTTATTTATATAAAACTCCTGTTAAACACTGCCATTGCTTCCAATTTTTTCACTATTATCAGTAATATTATAAATGAATATCCTAGTGTAAAAATCCTTACAAACTTTTAAGATTATGAGAAATTCTTATAAATAATATAACTTGCTGGGTCAAATATTTACATGCAAAATTCTGGCAGTTATCTTTAAACTTCCTCTGAATCATTTCATGTAATTTGCAACCCCGCCAACAGTGAACAACAGAACCGGTTTTCTCAGATGCTCCCCAGACACTGCACATTTATTTTTAGTCTTTGCTAACCTGGTTGTCTCCCATCCCTTTCCCCTAAAGACAGTTCATAATTCATTTATTTGCCTTTTTTTCACTATTGGAAGTGTTGAAGGCCTTTTCCTATCGTATTGGCTACTTACTTTACTTCTGTTATTCCTCTATGTCCTTTGTCCATTTTTCTATAGTTTTTAAGTGTTGTTTACTAGGGAAATTGGTCATTTTTTCATTCATACATCTTGAACTGCTAACTACTTATATTTCTGTTTTACAGAATTTTCCAACTTTTATGCAGACACAGCTATCAATTTTTTGTTTAATGACTCTAGTTTTTGTCGTTTTCTGAAAGGAATCTGCCAGTGAACCTGTGCCATGTACCATGGCTTTTACAACACAATTTCTTATATTTTCTCTCCCAATTTAAAAATGCCTTCTATTTACCAAAACCCTCCATAGATTTGGGGTTTCCCCCCTAAAAAAGCACTCCCTTAAATTGACTGTTGTTTTCTAACTCATCCATACTTACGCAACTAATTTTTTTTTCCCGTTAATAAAAAGGCTCCCTTAAATTGACTTTTAGTCTCCCTGTGATAGAGGCTGATGGGAACTAGCAGAGGGGTGGTGAGACAGAGGGTAGTACAAGAGATGGCACAGAACCCAGTTCAGGCTTCAGGGAGCTATGCCTGTCTGGGCTGAGGCTTCAGGATGAGTTAGAGTTGGCCCTGTTAACGGAAGGAAGGTATTACAGGCAGAAGAAATTCTGTTTCACAAGGTAGAAAATTAATCTGTCTTGCACCAAAGCATTTCAACACAAGTGGGATAACAGGGATAGGTGTGTATTTCTAATGAGATGTCAGCTAAGAATGTGAGTCTCATCACTCCACGCCGTTCCTTGGCCATTGACAATCATGGGTGACTGAGCAGATCTATACACAGGTCAGGCCATTCCCATAAATCTGTCCCATATTACCAGGGCATGTGCTCTATTAGGGATCCACATTAATTCTGTGCTAGGTGATAGTTAACATCATCGTAATACCTACAACTTACTGAGCACTTACTATGTCCCAAGCACAGTACCTTTCATAAAATAACTCTAATCCCTCCACCTGCCTGCCCAGCATTTTCCCTCCTCCTAGGGTATATGTTCACTTTGTGCTCAGGGTTATGGCAATAAAAAAGTCTGAGTAACACCACTCAAGTATTAGAAGAAAGGCCCAAAAATCTATAACCTTTCAAATAAGCAATTGACGGCCTTAAAAAATGTTCAAACCCTTTGAACCAGTTATTGCAGTTCAAGGAATCTATCCTAAGGAAACAGATTAGAGATGAGGAGAAAGACTTATGTTTGAAGGTACCAATCACGAAATCAGTCATAATAGCAAAAATAGGAAACAACTTAAATGTCCAATAGGAGAACGATTAATTAAATAACTGTATAGTGTCATGAAGGATGTTAAAATATTGTTACAGACAAAGACATGAATGAATATGGGTTTATGAGATGTTAGGTAAAAAAAAAAAAGCAGAATAACAAACAATATACACATATAGTATGATTCCAAGTGAAAAAAATATATTTACAAACATACACACGCACACATAGAAATAAGCCTGGAAGGAAATAAATTATTAATGGAGTTGTGAAAGTGTGAGTAAAATCCGCTTCCTTCTTTAT